AGCTGTGCTGGTCAAACTCTCTATCTTCGAGTAGAGAGAATCCGCATACGACGCTATGTCGAAGGGCAGCGTCTCATCTCGGGAAATAGCTATCCAACCTCGTTTTATACGGGGAGCTTTTGGCCGAGCCTACGGCCTCGGATTCCCCAACATTAAAACACGGCCTTGTGTCACATCTTACCTTGTGGGGCGGTTGGTAAATATTTATATAGGAATAAACTGTCGCTGCCGACATTTGTGTTTGATCCTAGGGAACAAACACAGGCGATCTCACCATTGAACTAGTTGATCACGTGAACATAAAGGAAACGCATATATAGAGGAAGTCGCGTGACGTGTTATGATCTGTTTGCTATCTCTTGTCAATACTATAAGGATTATTTCTCCTCTATCTTCCATTACGACTGAGATCGCTTTTCTCTCATCTAATAACTATACGAAGTACTATTAGACGTCTGACACCAGTATTGTTCCACGGCTTATTATAATTGGTATCTGCGATTGCAAGGTCTCTACTACGATGGCATTGACGAAGTAGCAAGCAAGTGTACGTTGGCATCATATCGGTGGCAACAAAGAGGGTTGTTTTGACGACCTAACACGCACACACATATTTCTTTCTTTCTTTTGTTGATCTGATGAAACTTAGAAAGGCGAAACCGGTAAGCAAATCTAGTTTCAATGAAACGTTTATACATTTGTAAATTTCTTCATATATATATATATATATATATATATATATATATATTTTGGTTGGATAGATGTGAGTTTGTGACCCTGGGTTTCACATCTATCCAACCAAATATGTTAGCTCTATCTCTGATATTGAGCGCTTTCTAATAAGTACCATATAATATATAAATAATTATACATACTTATATTTATTTATATTTATATACACTTTTCACACACACACGCACACACACACACACACACACACATACATATATATATATATATATATATATATATATATATATATATATATATATATATGTCCTAAAGAGCCAGGAACAACCTCCTTAGGTTTCACGGATCTTCAGGGTAAACCTCTGTAGGATTTATTTTATTTGTTCAAGCTCTACTTACCGTATTGAGCACTCTACGTTTTAGTTTTATTATTCGCTTGGGTTTTTCTTTGGACTAAAAACTTAAAGCTCTGGACGATTTATTTTCCTAGTTCTTTCTTCTTTTTTTCCATTTTTTTCCTCGCGTACCAATTAGTTTTGATATACTTGCAAGTTGTGCTATCTGAGGTTTTTTACCAACCGAGTACTATTAGTATATATATATATATATATATATATATATATATATATATATATATATATATATATATAGACATGTTTCATTAAATAATTTATACATGTTCTGTCTACGAATTTTCGATAGGATCCTTTCATATTCACGGATAAGCTTTTTGGTGTCGTTATTGAAGAGCGAGAGAAAATCGACGTGTTGATACATATTTCTTTTATTTCCAAGTACTTTCGACATAGCATAATGGGTGTTGTTTATTACAGAATAATAAAATTTTCTAATTATCCTGTAATAAACAATATCCTGATGCGGACATTGGGCTATATTCGAAATTACCCGGAAATAAACATAAACGAAATATGTATCAACACGGCGATTTTCTGTCACCCTTCAATAACGACACCAAAAAACTTATCCTTGAATATGAAATATAAAAGAATCCTATCGAAAATAAGTAGACAGAACATGTCTAAATTATTCAACGAAACATGCTGCCGAAATATGCGAATATATATATATATATATATATATATATGTGTGTGTGTGTGTGTGTGTGTGTGTGTGTGTGTGTGTGTGTGTGTGTGTGTGTGTGTGTGTGTGTGTGTGTGCAGATATGTAGAAAAATAGAAAAGAATACGTTAGGTAAATAATCCGGAGTTCTTTAGTATTTTTGCACTTATTTAAAAAAAAAAACCGTGCTCCATACAGAAGTAGAGCTTAAATTATAATTATTTTTAAAAAAAAGATATGATTCCTTCGCAACGTAAGAGTTCTCATGTTTCAAAAAACAAGATCCGAAAATCTCAATATAATTATCAAAATTAAATTGAATTAAAGTATCAATCCCTGTTTTATCCTCAAGCAAAAATTTAGGAATAACCAATCTTGAAATTTACGCATCTTTATAAGAATGTTCATTCGCAAAATAAATTACTATGGAAACGGCTGGGGCGATATATATATATATGACTGTGTATATGCAAATACACGAATATCTACATGTGTGTGTGTGTGTGTGTGTGTGTGTGTGTGTGTGTGTGTGTGTGTGTGTGTGTGTGCAAAATTTCAGGAATGGAGTTTTTCAAGGTAAAGGACTTGGTAAAATTCCTCACAAGACGAAGCACCTTGATTAAGGAAAGTTTTCCTTTTGTCTTTATTCATATTCTGTTTTATTCACTATGAGTTTCACCTTTGTTAGATAGACTTCTTCGGGTCCGAATGAAATATATATATATATATA